GGGGAATTCTGGGAGTTGAAGTCCACACATCTTCAAGTTGCCAAGGTTGAGAAACACTGTAGGAGGAGATAAGAAGGGTGAAGGAGGAGACAAAAGATAATGAGAAATGAATGGGGGTAAATATTCCACATGTTTTTGAACTCGTTTTTAAAAGATCCTTCAATTACATCTTGACCGACCCTTCTGATCTGGTTTTGGTTTTCCAATGAGGAAACTTTGAAAAACTTTGCTGTTGATCTCGTTATTAGATATGTTTTCATTCCAGCTCATTTGGACTTCCCGGAGGAACTGCTACAGTTAGAAAAGGAGAGGTCACCCCGTTTGTTATATGATTTGTATAACCCAGAAATGTGGGACTTTAACGGGAAAAGCCATCTCAGGAATTAGCTTTCGACACAGTCCAGAGCAGAGCAACAGACCTCTGTGCAAATTTCAGATAGAGAAATCTACATCTATATCTAATTTTACTAATCAAATTTGTATGGCCACCCACGTCACAGAAAGTGACTCTGGGTAGCATGCGATGATCCAAAAAAAACAACACATATATAAACACTCATTATAAAAATATAAGAATCAACATTAAAAAAATAAATAATCTAAAAACAAAATATACCAACTATATATTTTATACAAATTTTATATAAATATATACATATACGTATACATATACAAAATACAAGATATATATAAAACAAAACCTTTGGGATTAAAGAATTGCAAAGTTCAGTGGCATTTCGAAAGGCCCTGACTAGACATTTTTTTAAAAAACAGAATTATTCCTTTGATGATTGGAAGAAAACGTTGCTGATTGGAAGACTCTGTGTTTTGCACACCAAGGATTCCAAGTGAAATACTTGGTGTTCTAATTTTAAGATACCTTTATTTATTTAGTTATTTATTTATCTATCTACCTATCTATTTATTTATTTATTTATTAATATTTTAATTCCAAAAAGAAGAGGGAAAAAAACACATAAAAAGTGCTTTTACAAAAAAGTGGGGAAAAAACCAAAGAGAAAAAAAGTGTTAATATGCCATTATAACAATAAACAGTTGCAATTCTATATATGCTTATCTAATACAAACATTATTCGAGTACATATCTATTTCTAATAGATTTATAATGAGGCCCATAATAGATTTATAATGAGGCCCATGTTTCATTATACTTGTCCATGCAAGGTCTACGTCTGTAGGCAATCCCCTCGTAAGTGGCAAGGGCAATCAGGTCTAGGCCCTCCTAGACATAATTAGAAGGTCCAAGTGAAGGATTCGAAAGAGATCTGCCATCTCCCCCTGCGAGTTTTCCGCAAAGTTGTACAGAGATGGGTTTGGTCCTCTCTGGGATTGGAGGATGAGAGAGAATGGAGAGAAGCGTGATAGATCCGTAAGGTGGAGCTCCCTCCATTCATGGTCCTCTTTGCTATCGATGAAGATGGAACGTCTTTCTGAAGCAGAAGCTCTTCTTTATCTGTGAAGATTTGGAGCCCTGCAAAACGCATCATTCTAAATCTCAGGCAAAGCCTTTGAAGGAAAAAACAGGTCTTGCTGTGGATCGGTGCTCTTATCTGTAGTTTATTGATTGGTGGAAAGTAAAACTTTCTGCCTGTCTCCGGAAGCTGCCACTAATCCACATTATGGTGTTTCGTTGGTGGGTGGGAAAGAGCTGTTCCTGCCATGTAAGACCAGTTTTGTGGCCCCCGCATTGGCTCCCTGTAGGCGCACTTCAAAGTGCTGGTTTTCATCCAGTATCTCCAAGACGGTCTCTTTCAAATAAAGAAAGAGCCCATCTTGGGCATTCATTTTGGGAGGGGGTGCAGAAGGCCCCCCATCTGAGAAGTGAGGGATGGGGCCGTGTTTCTCTGCTGCATCCCCCTCCTTCAAAATAGCTCCCCCCACCCCCCATGTTTTGGTTGCTATTCATCTGGAGATCACTTCAGAAGCCCAGAAAGTTGATGGCACTTCGAGGAGCACTTTTTATATATTTGTCACTCAGGGTGGGGCACCAGCAGGTGCTGTTTCTAACAGGTTACTTCCCTTTGTTCTTCTCCAATTTGTTAATCAGTTTGCTCTAGTTTTGCACTTTCACGTGCTTGACAGACTCCCAGAAGGTTACAGGATTGAACTGCACTAAATCAAATTCCAAAATGATGTTGTCCTGCGTATCTCCCAACAACAAGAGCATCTAAAAAAGCTCTCCTCAGCAGCTACGTGAGCTGTTTTATGGCTTTCTGGATAAAGCCCCCCGGAGTCATATTTGAAGTATGATGGCATGTGGAAGAGGTAAATAAATCAGTGGTGGAGGCTTCGATAATTAGATTAAAGGTATTGCAGGAATGCAGCCATTAATTATCCAGCTATGTATTTGCAACTGTGTGGAAGGATGGAAGGAAGGAAGGAAGGAAGGAAGGAAGGAAGGAAGGAAGGAAGGAAGGAA